GTGACCCCCCTCACACAGGGGAGTAATGGTGATGGTCTCATGGAAACAGGGCCGGTGACTGGCGTGAGGGTCATTAACCTCCACATGGTGATTTCTCCATGTCACCTACATGATTTGGAAAAATAAAATAAACATGGGTAGATATTGATGGATCCTGGCTGGGGGGGTGTGGGGCTTCGAGAAAGCAACTCGCTGACAGGGAGATACTGGGCAACATGATGATGGGTGATGAAACGTGAAGAAATGAAAACGGTGGCTGATGGCGGGTGTGCACTGCCTCGGGTGAACCCTCCCCACTGTGCTTTTTTTGGTGGGGAACTTGATGAGGTCGGCCTTAATCCCCCACCATTTCAGAGCCTACGTCAGATCACAAGTTGCTGAATGGTCCAACAGCATCTCCATGCACCTCCACATCACCCTCAGAAACGAACCTCATCCAGCATCATACGGTGCAGAAGCGCAAAAGGCTTCAGGCGAATGCAGGTACTGTAACATGAAACTTGCACTTCTGGGTGATGCATGGCATCTGCTTTCTAGGAATAAATGCCTGCTGAGTTGGGTGGGCTTTTAAAATAATAAACCATTAGCTTACAGCCGAGTGGCTTTAAGTACAGCACAGGGCCACTGTGAACCAAAGAATGCACTCAGGCAATTTACGTATCAATCTCTTAAATCTTCTGGATATTTCTCGCAAAGGCGCTGGCTTTGTTTCATTGCCGAGTGTGTTTATGGGTCTGTGTGAGGATTCAGCTTTCCGGGGTCTGCCTGGTCAGCAGTGCCGCATAGATGGCACACAATCATAATAAAAAAGTGTGGAGGTAATTACCTCAGCTGGTAACCAGTCTGCCTTTACCTCACATTAACCCCCTGTTAAAACAGGTTTCACTTTAGAGATTTATGCTCATAGCTACAATTTTAGCATTTAAATGGTGCATTGTGTTCATAATTAAATACACAAACGCTTAATTCTGGCCATACATCGTGATCAGTTTCCCTCTGATTAATGATAGGACAGCCTCAGGTGCAGCCCGAGCAAACAGCGTGCTCTTAATGAACCTGTATTAAAGGTCCATGCACCAATTCAGGCGTTTGCTGTACTGATGAGGTAATTTGGTACCTGTAACTGTGGCAAAGTGAATGTGTGCATGGCACGCTCCCCGGCGTGATACTGTGGCAAAGTGAATGTGTGCATGGCACGCTCCCCGGCGTGATACTGTGGCAAAGTGAATGTGTGCATGGCACGCTCCCCGGCGTGATACTGTGGCAAAGTGAATGTGTGCATGGC